ACAATACCTGCGGTCGTAATGCAAACAAAAAACACAACTCTGATAATGTATGCACTGTCCTTGAAGTTGATTGGTCCACACCCGAGACAGCTTTCCTTAGAGCCTAGTCTCACTTGGTGTTGGACCAGATGACGCCAAGAGGCTTTTCATCTTGGAATGTTTTTTTTTCTCCTTGTAAAAAAAGGTGTCAGTTTTGTTGCCAGATAAAAGGGTAAAAAAAACAATTATCATATTTTTACTGGCAAATGAGGTTCCAATGGTGACGTTCTACTTAATGAAATAGACTTGTAATAAATGTTTTTCTCCTACAACATCAGAGTGCAGCGCCACATTAAATACGCACCACAATGACAACAGTTTAAAGCGATTGAAGCATTTTTGGGGGGGGGGGTGGGGGGCAAAGCTTTGTGGCGTCATATTTGAGGAGGGGGGGGGTCTGACTTTTTGTGACGCCGTGTGACGAAGGGGGGGGGGGGTCAAAATCGTCCAAAATCGCGTGACGTCATTTAATGGGATGGCCCCGATGTCAGGCCGATTTGAGGCCACGTGGAGTGTCACTGCTCACACCACGTGGTCAGTGATGGTGAGGCTCGCTGCTGGAGGTGAGCCATCGTCACATCAGTGCCATCAATGCCACCATCACGCACACATCACTCACACATCACTCACACATCACCACCACATCTACAACATCACCACCACATCACCACCACATCACCACCACATCACCAATAGCTACAACATCACTACCACCATGGCACAAACACGTGGTGAGTCTCACAAGTGGTCACGTGGTGAGTCTCACAGTGGTCACGTGGTGAGTCAGTGGACACGTGGTGAGTCAGTGGTCACGTGGTGAGTCAGTGGTCACGTGGTGAGTCAGTGGTCACGTGGTGAGTCAGTGGACACGTGGTGAGTCAGTGATCACGTGGTGAGTCAGAGGTCACGTGGTGAGTCAGTGGTCACGTGGTGAGTCAGTGGTCACGTGGTGAGTCAGTGGTCACGTGGTGAGTCAGTGGTCACGTGGTGAGTCAGAGGTCACGTGGTGAGTCAGGTGGTCACGTGGTGAGTCAGTGGTCACGTGGTAGTCAGTGGTCACGTGGTGAGTCTCACAGTGGACACGAGGTGGTGAACCCCATCTCTAGACAGACCCCCCCTCCCCCACGGGCCAGGCCCCCTAGTCCTCCTTACCTACGGCGCAGGGCTCTGGGCTCGCTGGTGTCACTCATCGAGTACCCGCGCGGGGCCAAGGTGGACAAGGAGAAGGTGGACGAGGAAGGGGCCCGGCGTCCTCCGCGAGGACACGAGGGCTCAGCGACGGGAGGAGGAGGCCGCTCCACGCAGAGCCCCGGCCGGCGAGCCCAAGCGTCGGCCACGGCGGTGAGACGCATCGCGGCGTTCGGAGCTCATCGTGCTCAACGTGCGGACACCGTGACCCCGTTGCGTGCTCTGTGGTTCTTTCGGTTAAAGTCACGTCGATTTCAGCCGCACCATCTCTACATAACAAAAGGCTCAGTCAACCATTCTACACAACAAAGACTCATTTAAATTTCGATTTAAAGCTTTCGTGACTGCAGGGATTCATCTTCTTGGTTCTTTCGGTAAAGTCGCGTTGAAGGGAAATAGTAAAATAATAAAAATAAAACAATAAAATACAATTCTCACGACGTTTCGGCCACAACGCAAGCAGCCGTCCTCAGGTGAAGAACAGGTCTGTCGGAAAGACAGCGTCTGAATGAGCACCACCAAGCTTAAATATACGCTGCCAAGCCTGGTGGTGTTTCATTCAGACGCTGTCTTTCCGACAGACCTGTTCTTCACCTGAGGATGGCTGCTTGCGTTGTGGCCGAAACGTCGTGAGAATTATATTATTTCATTATGTTTTATTTTTATTATTTTATTATGTTTTTATTTTATTATTTTATTACTTCCCGTCTACGTGACTTTACCAAAAAAACCAAGAAGATGAAAGACTAATTTCCTGGCAGCGATTTCAGCCGCACCACCTCTACATAACAATCGGCGCAGTCAACCATTCTACACAACAAAGACTCATTTCCTGGCAGCGATTTAAGCCGCACCATCTCTACATAACAATAGGCTCAGTCAACCATTCTACACAACAAAGACTCATTTCCTGGCAGCGATTTCAGCCGCACCACCTCTACATAACAAAGGCTCAGTCAACCATTCTACACAACAAAGACTCATTTCCTGGCAGCGATTTCAGCCGCACCACCTCTACATAACAATAGGCTCAGTCAACCATTCTACACAACAAAGACTCATTTCCTGGCAGCGATTTCAGCCGCACCACCTCTACATAACAATAGGCTCAGTCAACCATTCTACACAACAAAGACTCATTTCCTGGCAGCGATTTCAGCCGCACCACCTCTACATAACAATAGGCTCAGTCAACCATTCTACACAACAAAGACTCATTTCCTGGCAGCGATTTCAGCCGCACCACCTCTACATAACAATAGGCTCAGTCAACCATTCTACACAACAAAGACTCATTTCCTGGCAGCGATTTCAGCCGCACCACCTCTACATAACAATAGGCTCAGTCAACCATTCTACACAACAAAGACTCATTTCCTGGCAGCGATTTCAGCCGCACCACCTCTACATAACAATAGGCTCAGTCAACCATTCTACACAACAAAGACTCATTTCCTGGCAGCGATTTCAGCCGCACCACCTCTACATAACAATAGGCTCAGTCAACCATTCTACACAACAAAGACTCATTTCCTGGCAGCGATTTCAGCCGCACCACCTCTACATAACAATAGGCTCAGTCAACCATTCTACACAACAAAGACTCATTTCCTGGCAGCGATTTCAGCCGCACCACCTCTACATAACAATAGGCTCAGTCAACCATTCTACACAACAAAGACTCATTTCCTGGCAGCGATTTCAGCCGCACCACCTCTACATAACAATAGGCTCAGTCAACCATTCTACACAACAAAGACTCATTTCCTGGCAGCGATTTCAGCCGCACCACCTCTACATAACAATAGGCTCAGTCAACCATTCTACACAACAAAGACTCATTTCCTGGCAGCGATTTCAGCCGCACCACCTCTACATAACAATAGGCTCAGTCAACCATTCTACACAACAAAGACTCATTTCCTGGCAGCGATTTCAGCCGCACCACCTCTACATAACAATAGGCTCAGTCAACCATTCTACACAACAAAGACTCATTTCCTGGCAGCGATTTCAGCCGCACCACCTCTACATAACAATAGGCTCAGTCAACCATTCTACACAACAAAGACTCATTTCCTGGCAGCGATTTCAGCCGCACCACCTCTACATAACAATAGGCTCAGTCAACCATTCTACACAACAAAGACTCATTTCCTGGCAGCGATTTCAGCCGCACCACCTCTACATAACAATAGGCTCAGTCAACCATTCTACACAACAAAGACTCATTTCCTGGCAGCGATTTCAGCCGCACCACCTCTACATAACAATAGGCTCAGTCAACCATTCTACACAACAAAGACTCATTTCCTGGCAGCGATTTCAGCCGCACCACCTCTACATAACAATAGGCTCAGTCAACCATTCTACACAACAAAGACTCATTTCCTGGCAGCGATTTCAGCCGCACCACCTCTACATAACAATAGGCTCAGTCAACCATTCTACACAACAAAGACTCATTTCCTGGCAGCGATTTCAGCCGCACCACCTCTACATAACAATAGGCTCAGTCAACCATTCTACACAACAAAGACTCATTTCCTGGCAGCGATTTCAGCCGCACCACCTCTACATAACAAAAGGCTCAGTCCCTTTTACACGCACCTTTACATCATCCGCACCTAGTTTACACAACAAAGGCTCATTCCTAACAGCGTGCTTCAGCCGCACCGAACCTCACAAAAATAATATCCAAGGCCTACCTTGACTCCTCCCACCCTCAACCAGTATATATACAAGGACTGTGTTCTTGGAATTTCTCTCACTTGATACAGCAATCGTGCTGTGACGGTTCCACCTGAAGACGGAAGCTTGTGTTGCCTCCGAAACGTCGTGATTTTTATTTTATTTTATTTTACTTTTATTAATCTTAATTTTTTACCTACGTGACTTTACCGAAAAAAACCTAAGAATATGAATCCTTGCAGTCACGAAAGCTTCAAATCTAGAAACAATAACACTGGTCAACACACTTTTGCTGGCATAAGGTATTCCAACTGTTTTAAGGTAATTTTTTTTGTCTATCACATCAGGTTTTTGTATTTTCAATAAAAACTGCGGAAGAAAAATATTAAATAAATGTGGATATCTACATAAAATGATATTATAGACACACTATCCTAAAAATACAGCACCGTATTTTAACACTAAAGCAGTCACTGACTCACATCAACTTGCAATCATAAGTGACAGAGTTAATTTCAGGTAAAATCAATGAAAATGGGGTATGCCGATAGCATAAAAATGAGATGTGATAGAGAAAATCTGAGATCAGATTTGGAATCAGCATATTCTTAGGTTTTTCCGGTAAAGTCACGTAGGTAAAACATCTAAATTAATAAAAAATAAAATAAATAAAATAAAATAAAAATATTATTATTAATTTTGATGTTTTACCTACGTGACTTAAGAATATGAATCCTCGCAGTCACGGAAGCTTGAAATCTAGAATTGGAATCAGCACCCTGAAATTAGTTTAAAACAGCTGCAAAAGTCCAGGCCAGAATTTTGTTTTGTTGACCAGTGTTATTGATCACGACGTTTCGATCGCCACGCCGCAAGCGACGGTCGTTTGTGTTGCTGGGAATGGAGCCGGTGTGGGCAGTGGAAAAACACCACCCGTACCGTGCCAGGGTCCCCATGGCCTGGCTCGGTTCGGGTGTGGCCAGTGGAAACAATGGGATGCATGTGAGCTGCTCAAGGGCCGAGCCGTGGCATTCTATCTCTGCAGGGCTCAGGAGCTGCTGGAGCGGCTGGTGGATGCCCTGGGAATGGTCACCACCTCCTACTACAGCCGCGCGCTGCTCTACACCACGTGAGTCTCGTGTGAGTCTCGTGTTGGGGGTGCAAGGGGAGCCCACCACGCCTGAGGTCCGCTCTCCCCGGGGGCTTCCTCTTCAAGGAACTCGCGGGTCCTTCCTCGGGAGATCTGGACGCAGGTTCCCGTCATCGGTGAACTCCTCCGGCAGGCGAGGAGGCTGGGTCTGCCGGGTCGCGTGCCCCAAGCAGCTGATGTTTGGACAGATGGAGAGGGGCTAAAATAGACACGCAACAGGCTGTAGAAGAGATGGGCTGATGGCTGAGTGGGTGGGTGAGGTGGCGAGTGGATGGGTGAGTGGGTAGGTGAGAGTGAGTGAGTGGGTGGGTGAGTGAGTGGGTGATGTGGCGAGTGGATGGGTGAGTGGGTAGGTGAGAGTTGGGGAGTGGGTGTGGTGAGTGAGTGAGTGGGTGGGTGAGTGAGTGGGTACAGCAAGGGAAGAGATGGAGCTGATTGCTGAGTGGGTGGGTGAGGTGTGGCGAATGGATGGGTGAGTGGGTAGGTGAGAGTGAGTGAGTGAGTGGGTGTGGTGAGTGAGTGAGTGGGTGAGCGAGTGGTACAGCAAGGGAAGAGATGGAGCTGATGGCTGAATGGGTGGGTGAGGTGTGGTGAGTGGATGGGTGAGTGGGTAGGAGAGAATTGGTGAGTGGGTGTGGTGAGTGAGTGAGTGGGTGGGCGAGTGAGTGGGTACAGCAAGGGAAGAGATGGAGCTGATGGCTGAGTGGGTGGGTGAGGTGTGGCGAGTGGATGGGTGAGTGGGTAGGTGAGAGTGAGTGAGTGGGTGTGGTGAGTGAGTGAGTGGGTGAGCGAGTGGTACAGCAAGGGAAGAGATGGAGCTGATGGCTGAGTGGGTGGGTGAGGTGTGGCGAATGTATGGGTGAGTGGGTAGGTGAGAGTTGGTGAGTGGGTGTGGTGAGTGAGTGAGTGGGTGAGCGAGTGGTACAGCAAGGGAAGAGATGGAGCTGATGGCTGAGTGGGTGGGTGAGGTGTGGCGAATGTATGGGTGAGTGGGTAGGTGAGAGTGAGTGAGTGGGTGTGGTGAGTGAGTGAGTGGGTGGGCGAGTGAGTGGGTACAGCAAGGGAAGAGATGGAGCTGATGGCTGAGTGGGTGGGTGAGGTGTGGCGAATGGGTGGGTGAGTGGGTAGGTGAGAGTGAGTGAGTGGGTGTGGTGAGTGAGTGGGTGTGGTGAGTGAGTGAGTGGGTGGGCGAGTGAGTGGGTACAGCAAGGGAAGAGATGGAGCTGATGGCTGAGTGGGTGGGTGAGGTGTGGCGAGTGGATGGGTGAGTGGGTAGGTGAGAGTGAGTGAGTGGGTGTGGTGAGTGAGTGAGTGGGTGAGCGAGTGGTACAGCAAGGGAAGAGATGGAGCTGATGGCTGAGTGGGTGGGTGAGGTGTGGCGAATGTATGGGTGAGTGGGTAGGTGAGAGTTGGTGAGTGGGTGTGGTGAGTGAGTGGGTGATGTGGCGAGTGGATGGGTGAGTGGGTAGGTGAGAGTGAGTGAGTGGGTGGGTGAGTGAGTGGGTGATGTGGCGAGTGGATGGGTGAGTGGGTAGGTGAGAGTTGGTGAGTGGGTGTGGTGAGTGAGTGGGTGATGTGGCGAGTGGATGGGTGAGTGGGTAGGTGAGAGTGAGTGAGTGGGTGGGTGAGTGAGTGAGTGGGTGGGTGAGGTGTGGCGAATGGATGGGTGAGTGGGTAGGTGAGAGTTGGTGAGTGGGTGGGTGGCACAGCTAGGGAAGAGATGGGCTGATGGCTGAGTGGGTGGGTGAGGTGTGGCGAATGGATGGGTGAGTGGGTAGGTGAAAATTGGTGAGTGGGTGTGGTGAGTGAGTGAGTGGGTGGGCGAGTGAGTGGGTACAGCAAGGGAAGAGATGGAGCTGATGGCTGAGTGGGTGGGTGAGGTGTGGCGAATGGGTGGGTGAGTGGGTAGGTGAGAGTGAGTGAGTGGGTGTGGTGAGTGAGTGAGTGGGTGGGTGAGTGAGTGGGTACAGCAAGGGAAGAGATGGGCTGATGGCTGAGTGGGTGGGTGAGGTGTGGCGAATGGATGGGTGAGTGGGTAGGTGAGAGTGATTGAGTGGGTGTGGTGAGTGAGTGGGTGATGTGGCGAGTGGATGGGTGAGTGGGTAGGTGAGAGTGAGTGAGTGGGTGTGGTGAGTGAGTGGGTGATGTGGCGAGTGGATGGGTGAGTGGGTAGGTGAGAGTGATTGAGTGGGTGTGGTGAGTGAGTGGGTGATGTGGCGAGTGGATGGGTGAGTGGGTAGGTGAGAGTGATTGAGTGGGTGTGGTGAGTGAGTGGGTGATGTGGCGAGTGGATGGGTGAGTGAGTGGGTGGGTGAGTGAGTGAGTGGGTGGGTGAGGTGTGGCGAATGGATGGGTGAGTGGGTAGGTGAGAGTTGGTGAGTGGGTGTGGTGAGTGAGTGAGTGGGTGGGTGAGGTGTGGCGAATGGATGGGTGAGTGCGTAGGTGAGAATTGGTGAGTGGGTGGGTGGCACAGCTAGGGAAGAGATGGGCTGATTGCTGAGTGGGTGGGTGAGGTGTGGCAAATGGATGGGTGAGTGGGTAGGTGAGAGTTGGTGAGTGGGTGTGGTGAGTGAGTGAGTGGGTGGGTGAGTGAGTGGGTACAGCAAGGGAAGAGATGGAGCTGATTGCTGAGTGGGTGGGTGAGGTGTGGCGAATGGATGGGTGAGTGGGTAGGTGAAAATTGGTGAGTGGGTGTGGTGAGTGAGTGGGTGGGTGGGTGAGTGAGTGGGTACAGCAAGGGAAGAGATGGAGCTGATGGCTGAGTGGGTGGGTGAGGTGTGGCGAGTGGATGGGTGAGTGGGTAGGTGAGAGTGAGTGAGTGGGTGTGGTGAGTGAGTGAGTGAGTGGGTGAGCGAGTGGTACAGCAAGGGAAGAGATGGAGCTGATGGCTGAGTGGGTGGGTGAGGTGTGGCGAATGTATGGGTGAGTGGGTAGGTGAGAGTTGGTGAGTGGGTGTGGTGAGTGAGTGAGTGGGTGGGTGAGTGAGTGGGTACAGCAAGGGAAGAGATGGAGCTGATTGCTGAGTGGGTGGGTGAGGTGTGGCGAATGGATGGGTGAGTGGGTAGGTGAAAATTGGTGAGTGGGTGTGGTGAGTGAGTGGGTGGGTGGGTGAGTGAGTGGGTACAGCAAGGGAAGAGATGGAGCTGATGGCTGAGTGGGTGGGTGAGGTGTGGCGAGTGGATGGGTGAGTGGGTAGGTGAGAGTGAGTGAGTGGGTGTGGTGAGTGAGTGAGTGAGTGGGTGAGCGAGTGGTACAGCAAGGGAAGAGATGGAGCTGATGGCTGAGTGGGTGGGTGAGGTGTGGCGAATGTATGGGTGAGTGGGTAGGTGAGAGTTGGTGAGTGGGTGTGGTGAGTGAGTGAATGGGTGGGTGGGTGGCACAGCTAGGGAAGAGATGGAGCTGATGGCTGAGTGGGTGGGTGAGGAGTGGGGAATGGATGGGTGAGTGGGTAGTTGAGAGTTGGTGAGTGGGTGGGTGAGTGAGTGAGTGGGTGGGTGAGTGAGTGGGTACAGCAAGGGAAGAGATGGAGCTGATTGCTGAGTGGGTGGGTGAGGTGTGGCGAATGGATGGGTGAGTGGGTAGGTAAGAGTTAGTGAGTGGGTGTGGTGAGTGAGTGAGTGGGTGAGTGGCACAGCTAGGGAAGAGATGGAGCTGATGCGGTACAGGAGGATGTGGAGCTGAGTGGACTTGCCAATGGCCGTTGCTAGCGGTGTCAAGAACGGCTTCTGTGGAGGAGGAGGCTCGTGAAGGACGCCGCTGATGGGGCAGTTGGAGGCAGTCGCCCTCCACCAACAGCCAAGGGCAGAAGAACGAAGCTCACAACAACGAGTGGAGTAACGGGCAGTTACAACGCAGCGAGTTGGCACAGTAGGGGGCACAGGTGGTAGCATCTGCCGGTCATCTCAGTCAACCCATGGCACCTGCTGGGTCTGTCCCGTGACCTCCTCCTGCACCTAGCCTGGCACAGCAGTCAACCCATGGCACCTGCTGGGTCTGTCCCGTGACTTGCGGCACCTAGCCTGGAACAGTAGGAGGGTACAGCTGGTGGTGCATCTACCGGTCATCTCAGTCAACCCATGGCACCTGCTGGGTCTGTCCCATGACCTCTGGCACCTAGCCTGGCACAGTAGGAGGGTACAGCTGGTGGTGCATCTACCGGTCATCTCAGTCAACCCATGGCATCTGCGTCTGTCCCGTGACCTCCTGCCAGCAGCAAGCTTTCCACGCTTTTTTACATACATAATGCACGGGCATAATATGACTTTGAGACCCCACCTCCTACGCATTCCACAAGTAGTGACTAATCCCATATCTGCATTTCCCATAAATATGCTAAATTCCTCTGTTGATATGCAAATTCCTTTGTCAAGGCGCCCTTCCCCTCTAACCCAGCAGCTTAAATAGACGCTGCCAAGCTTGGTGGTGCTCATTCAGACGCTGTCTTTCCGACAGACCTGTTCTTCACCTGAGGACGGCTGCTTGCGTTGTGGCCGAAACGTCGTGAGAATTGTATTTTTTATGAAGTTTATTTTTATTATTTTATTATTTCCCTTCTACGTGATGACTTTACCGAAAGAACCGAGAAGACTTTCCACACTTCACGCGATAGCCTCGACATGTACCTAGCCTGGCACAAACACCGCGGTGACCTCACTGCCACTTAGTGGCAGAGGTCGCAAACGGGTTTTGATTCCTTACCCGTACCCGTACCCGGCCGCACCAGGGTCGCAAACGGGTACCCGTACCCGTACCCGATACCCGGCTACCCGTACCCGACCGGGTATCGTGTAGGGTACGGGTATCGTGTAGGGTACGGGTATCGGGTACCCGATTGCGACCTCTGGGATGAAGCCATGTTGCAGGCGCGGGTGGGTTGATTCTAGGAACTTGAATTGTGAGAAGAGACAAGGCGTTGGGAAATGAGTGACAAACGGTGACTCACCAGTGACTCACGGCCTACCCGTACCCGGCCCGCACCAGGGTCGCAAACGGCTACCCGTACCCGGCCGGGTACGGGTAGCCGGGTATCGGGTAGGGTACGGGTATCGGGTACCCGGTTGCGACCTCTGCTTAGTGGTGCATGGCGGCTGATGTTGCCATCGTTTCGCAGGGGTGGAGGGAACGTCCGGCCTGCGGGCCATATAAAGCCCCGCGAAATCATTTGGGTCTGGGCCCTGCCAAGGCAACCGCAGGCAGGACTCGAAATTCAATAAATCTAGGAGCAAACCTGGAAAAGCAGTTGCGAGTAGCAGCAACATCTTCTTGGTTCTTTCGGTAAAGTCACGTAGAAGGGAAGTAATAAAATAATAAAAATAAAACATAATAAAATAATTCTCACATTTAATATAAGGTACCACAATGTGGTACGTATCTCGGCCTTTTGGCTAAGATCAAGTGTAGTATTTGTTCTTATCAGTTTAATATCTGATACGTACCACATTGTGGTACCTTATATTAAATGTGAGAATTATTTTATTATGTTTTATTTTTATTATTTTATTACTTCCCTTCTACGTGACTTTACCGAAAGAACCAAGAAGATGAATCCCTGCAGTCACGAAAGCTTTAAATCGAAATTTAGCAGCAACATCATCATCAATACTGGCAAACATCACCCCACGCCTCGCCAAAGAAAAGCAGTTCCAGCCATCACATTAGGGGCGAGTTAATGAAATGTTTGACCAAATATAACAACGGGCTCATTTCTAAATCCTTTATTAAATCCTTTATAATAAGTTCACTTGCTTGCTTGCTTGCGCGCTTACGACCGTGCAAATCTTTCGGTCGTTTTTTAACCCACTTCCCGTGATCCAATCGAGCTGAAATCTTCCACACAGACTCGTTGTGCGTGACAATTTATTTTCGTGAATTTTTTTTCTCCAAAATTTTACACTTTTTAGGAAAAAATAAATTATATTTAATTACCAATTGCTTAATGGTGGCAGGCAATCATCTGACCCATAGGTGGCAGCCATCTCAAGCCAGAGGAGGAGAGGACTCTAGCCGCCACGCATATAAAGGATTTATAGTGAAAAATTTTGTTTTTACGGGTTAATTTTCTAAGTTGATCATTTTGTATGGCCCACGAATGATGTTATAAATATCCAAACGGCCCTTGGCAGATGGGGGCACTGCGCGAACAACACCGGTCCTGGGCCTCCCCTAGGTCGACTCAGCCTCAAATGAGTGCAGTGCATAAACATCGCCACTCGGGAGATAAAGGCGGCCGGGCGTGGTGCTGGCCACCCACCCCCTCGTGTGCCGTGCCGACATTCACAGGTGCTGCTCGCTAACAGCACTTGCCCCTACGGTCTGTGACAGGCTACGCGGGGGATCTTTGTCTTCATGCCCCGAATCGCCCGCTCTCCCCCCCCGTCCCCCACTCCACCCACCTATCCAGGATGGGCATCCCCTGCGGCTTCACGCTCTCCACCTTCCTTGGAAGCATCAGCCTGTTCCTTGCAAGCCTCCTCTACTTGCGGGTAAGTGGGGACCCCCAAAGACTCCCCACACACCCCCCTACCCCCAACCTCCCCCACTGTGTGAGTCCGTGGGTATCTGTGTGAGTATGTGGGTCTCTGTGTGAGTCTGTGGGTCTCTGTGTGAGTCTGTGGGTCTCTGTGTGAGTCTGTGGGTCTCTGTGTGAGTCTATGGGTCTTTGTGTGAGTCTGTGGGTCTCTGTGTGAGTCTATGGGTCTCTGTGTGAGTCTGTGGGTCTCTGTGTGAGTCTGTGGGTCTCTGTGTGAGTCTATGGGTCTTTGTGTGAGTCTGTGGGTCTCTGTGTCAGTCTATGGGTCTCTGTGTGAGTCTGTGGGTCTCTGTGTGAGTCTGTGGGTCTCTGTGTGAGTCTGTGGGTCTCTGTGTGAGTCTGTGGGTCTCTGTGTGAGTCTGTGGGTCTCTGTGTGAGTCTGTGGGTCTCTGTGTGAGTCTATGGGTCTCTGTGTGAGTCTATGGGTCTCTGTGTGAGTCTGTGGGTCTTTGTGTGAGTCTGTGGGTCTCTGTGTGAGTCTATGGGTCTCTGTGTGAGTCTGTGGGTCTCTGTGTGAGTCTGTGGGTCTCTGTGTGAGTCTGTGGGTCTCTGTGTGAGTCTGTGGGTCTCTGTGTGAGTCTATGGGTCTCTGTGTGAGTCTCTGTGTGCGTCTATGGGTCTCTGTGTGAGCCTGTGGGTCTCTATGTGCGTCTATGGGTTTCTGTTTGAGTATGTGGGTCTCTGTGTGAGTCTGTGGGTCTCAGTGTGCGTCTATGGGTCTCTGTGTGAGTCTGTGGGTCTCTACGCGAGTCTGTGGGTATCTGTGTGAGTCTATGGGTATCTGTGTGAGTCTATGGGTATCTGTGTGAGTCTTTGGGTATCTGTGTGAGTCTGTGGGTATCTGTGTGGGTCTATGAGTCACTGTGTGAGTCTGTGGGTCTCTGTGTGAGTCTGTGGGTCTCTGTGTGAGTCTATGGGTCTCTGTGTGAGTCTTTGGGTATCTGTGTGAGTATATGGGTCTCTGTGTGAGTCTGTGGGTATTTTGGTAAGTCTATGGTTCTCTTTGTGAGTTTATATGAGTCTCTGTGTGAGTCTGAGGGTCTCTCTGTGCGAGTCTATTGGTCTCTGTGTGTGAGTCTATGGGTCTCTCTGTGTGAGTCTATGGGTCTCTGTGTGAGTCTATGGGTCTCTGTGTGAGTCTATGGGTCTCTCTGTGTGAGTCTATGGGTCTCTGTGTGAGTCTATGGGTCTCTCTGTGTGAGTCTATGGGCCTCTCTGTGTGAGTCTATGGGTCTCTGTGTGAGTCTATGGGTCTCTGTGTGAGTCTATGGGTCTCTCTGTGTGAGTCTATTGGTCTCTGTCTATGGGTCTCTCTGTGTGAGTCTATGGGTCTCTGTGTGAGTCTATGGGTCTCTGTGTGAGTCTATGGGGTCTCTCTGTGTGAGTCTATGGGTCTCTGTGTGAGTCTATGGGTCCTCTCTGTGTGAGTCTATGGGCCCTCTGTGTGAGTCTATGGGTCTCTGTGTGAGTCTATGGGTCTCTGTGTGAGTCTATGGGGCTCTCTGTGTGAGTCTATGGGTCTCTGTGTGAGTCTATGGGTCTCTGTGTGAGTCTATGGGTCTCTCTGTGTGAGTCTATTGGTCTCTCTGTGTGAGTCTATTGGTCTCTCTGTGTGAGTCTATGGGTCTCTCTGTGTGAGTCTATGGGTCTCTCTGTGTGAGTCTATGGATCTCTCTGTGTGAGTCTATGGGTCCTCTCTGTGTGAGTCTATGGGTCTCTCTGTGCGAGTCTATTGGTCTCTGTGTGTGAGTCTATGGGTCTCTCTGTGTGAGTCTATGGGTCTCTCTGTGTGAGTCTATGGGTCTCTCTGTGTGAGTCTATGGGTCTCTCTGTGTGAGTCTATGGGCCTCTCTGTGTGAGTCTATGGGCCTCTCTGTGTGAGTCTATGGGTCTCTCTGTGTGAGTCTATGGGTCTCTCTGTGTGAGTCTATGGGCCTCTCTGTGTGAGTCTATGGGTCTCTCTGTGTGAGTCTATGGGTCTCTCTGTGTGAGTCTATGGGCCTCTCTGTGTGAGTCTATGGGTCTCTCTGTGTGAGTCTATGGGCCTCTCTGTGTGAGTCTATGGGCCTCTCTGTGTGAGTCTATGGGTCTCTCTGTGTGAGTCTATGGGTCTCTCTGTGTGAGTCTATGGGTCTCTCTGTGTGAGTCTATTGGTCTCTCTGTGTGAGTCTATGGGTCTCTCTGTGTGAGTCTATGGGTCTCTCTGTGTGAGTCTATGGGTCTCTCTGTGTGAGTCTATGGGCCTCTCTGTGTGAGTCTATGGGCCTCTCTGTGTGAGTCTATGAGTCACTGTGTGAGTCTTATGGGTCTCTCTGTGTGAGTCTATGGGTCTCTCTGTGTGAGTCTATGGGTCTCTCTGTGTGAGTCTATGGGTCTCTCTGTGTGAGTCTATGGGTCTCTCTGTGTGAGTCTATGGGTCTCTCTGTGTGAGTCTATGGGTCTCTCTGTGTGAGTCTATTGGTCTCTCTGTGTGAGTCTATGGGTCTCTCTGTGTGAGTCTATGTGTCTCTCTGTGTGAGTCTATGGGTCTCTGTGTGAGTCTATGGGTCTCTCTGTGTGAGTCTATGGGTCTCTGTGTGAGTCTGTGGGTCTCTCTGTGTGAGTCTGTGGGTCTCTCTGTGTGAGTCTGTGGGTCTCTCTGTGTGAGTCTATGGGTCTCTCTGTGTGAGTCTATGGGTCTCTCTGTGTGAGTCTATTGGTCTCTGTGTGTGAGTCTATGGGTCTCTCTGTGTGAGTCTATGGGCCTCTCTGTGTGAGTCTATGGGTCTCTGTGTGAGTCTATGGCCTCTCTGTGTGAGTCTATGGGTCTCTGTGTGAGTCTGTGGGTTTCTGTGTGAGTCTATGGGTCTCTCTGTGTGAGTCTATGGGCCTCTCTGTGTGAGTCTATGGGCCTCTCTGTGTGAGTCTATGGGCCTCTCTGTGTGAGTCTGTGGGCCTCTCTGTGTGAGTCTATGGGCCTCTCTGTGTGAGTCTATGGGTCTCTCTGTGTGAGTCTATGGGCCTCTCGTGTGAGTCTATGGGCCTCTCTGTGTGAGTATATGGGTGTCTCTGTGCAAGTCTATGGGTGTCTGTGTGAGTCTATATGTCTGTGTGAGTCTATGGGTCTCTGTGTGAGTCTATGGGTCTCTCTGTGTGAGTCTATAGGTCTCTCTGTGTGAGTCTATGGTCTCTCTGTGTGAGAGTCTGTGGGTCTCTCTGTGTGATCTGTGGGTCTCTCTGTGTGAGTCTATGGGCCTCCTGTGAGAGTCTATGGCTCTCTGTGTGAGTCTATGGGTCTCTGTGTGTCTATGGGTCTCTGTGTGAGTCTATGGGTCTCTCTGTGTGAGTCTATGGGTCTCTGTGTGAGTCTATGGGTCTCTGTGTGAGTCTATGGGTCTCTGTGTGTGAGTCTATGGGTCTCTGTGTGAGTCTATGGGTCTCTGTGTGAGTCTATGGGTCTCTGTGTGAGTCTATGGGTCTCTGTGTGAGTCTATGGGTCTCTGTGTGAGTCTATGGTCTCTGTGTGAGTCTATGGGTCTCTGTGTGAGTCTATGGGTCTCTGTGTGAGTCTTGGGTCTCTGTGTGAGTCTATGGGTCTCTGTGTGAGTCTATGGGTTCTGGTGAGTCTATGGGTCTCTGTGTGAGTCTATGGGTCTCTGTGTGAGTCTATGGGTCTCTCTGTGTGAGTCTATGGGTCTCTGTGTGAGTCTATGGGTCTCTGTGTGAGTCTATGGGTCTCTGTGTGAGTCTATGGGTCTCTGTGTGAGTCTATGGGCCTCTCGTGTGAGTCTGTGGGTCTCTGTGAGTCTGTGGGTCTCTGTGTGAGTCTATGGGCCTCTCTGTGTGAGTCTGTGGGTCTCTGTGTGTGAGTCTGTGTTTGCATGGATGTTGAACTTCTTCCGCACCACCCTACCTAGCCCACCATGCCGACCGCAGCGCTCCATGTTGACGCTTCATGTTGACACGGCGCGTCGTCGCCAGAGGTCGCAAACGGGTACGGGTAGGGTACGGGTACGGCCGGGTACGGGTAGGGTACGGGTATCGGGTACCCGATTGCGACCTCTGGGATGAAGCCACGTTGCTGGCGCGGGTGGGTTGATTCTAGGAACTTGAATTGTGAGAAGAGACAAGACGTTGGGAAATGAGTGACAAACGGTGACTCACCAGTGACTCACGGCCTACCCGTACCCGGCCGCACCAGGGTCGCAAACAGCTACCCGTACCCGGCCGGGTACGGGTAGCCGAGTATCGGGTAGGGTACGGGTATCGGGTAGGGTACGGTTATCGGGTAGGGTAAGGGTATCGGGTAGAGTACGGTACGGGTAGCCGGGTATCGGGTAGGGTACGGGTATCGGGTACCCGGTTGCGACCTCTGCTCACCCCCACCCCCTTGCAGGCGGCGGTGGCCGGGGAGTCATGGGTCAGCGGACGCGCTCGACCCCGCCACGAACGCCGCGTCGTCGCCGCCTGTTTCATCCACATCCAGCGCCAACTCTCGTCGGTGACGTGGAGGCTCGGGGCCTCCGGCACGGACGATGACACGGCGGCGGCGGCGGCGGTGACACCGGTCGGCGCCTCGGAGCGTACGCCGCTGCTGGCACCGTGAGACCGCACGTCTCCCGGCACGCGTCGGTGGCGCTACCGATGAAACCCGCGGGGTCGTTTTGGTTTTGCGTCGCCACTCGGGAAGTCAACTCTTTGAATGGCGAGGGATTGATAATTGTTTTTTCACCCTTCTATCTGGCAACAAAACTGACACCTTTTTTTTACAAGGAGTCATGTTTGCATAGACCACAATACCTGCAGTCGTAATGCAAACAAAAAACATAACTCTGAAAATTTGTTGCCAGATAGAAGGGTAAAAAACCAATTATCATATTTTTTAATGGAAAATGAGGTTCCAATGGTGGCAAGGGATTCTCATCGTCACCGTTGTCGTCGTCACCGTAGTCACGGTCGTGGCCATCGTTGTTGCGCTGTTTGGTTTTTTTCGGTGAAGTCAGGTAGGTCAAAAAATTCAACGAAAGAAATGAATCTTCTTGGTTCTTTCGGTAAAGTCACGTAGAATGGAAATAATAATAATACGTGACTTTACCGAAAGAACCAAGAAAATGAATCCCTGCAGTCACGAAAGCTTTAAATCGAAAGAAATGAAAACAACTAAATTGAACCGCGACGTTTCGGGGGCAACGCAAGCTTCCGTCCTTCAGTTGTTTTCATTTCATTTATTTTGTTTTATTTTTCACCTACGTGGCGACTTTGCCGAAAACACCAAAGAGTATGAATCCTTGCAGTCACGAAAGCTTCAAATCTAGAATAATTTTCTTGGTTCTTTCGGTAAAGTCACGTAGAAGGGAACTAATAATCCTACATAATGCACGGGCATAATATGACTTTAAAACCCCCCGCCCACCTCCTACGCATTCCACAAGTAGTGACTAATCCCATATCTGCATTTCCCATAAATATGCTAAATTCCTCTTGATATGCAAATTATTTTGTCAAGGCACTCTTCCTTCTCCAACCCAGCTTAAATATACGCTGCCAAGCTTGATGGTGCTCATTCAGACGCTGTCTTTCCGACAGACCTGTTCTTCACCTGAGGACGGCTGCTTGCGTTGTGGCCGAAACGTCGTGAGAATTGTATTTTATTATGTTTATTGTTATTATTTTATTATTTCCCTTCTACGTGACCGCCGCTGCCACTGCCGCTGCAGCCCTCAGATCGGCCTGGTGGCAAAAATAGGCCGAGGAGAGCAACAAAACTCACGCGTCACATTAGACATCACCCCCCCCCCCCTGTATAAAAACCACAAACATAACGGTATTATTGGAACCTCATTTGCCAGTAAAAAATATGATAATTGTTTTTTTACCCTTTTATCTGGCAACAAAACTGACACTTTATTTTACAATGAGTCATGTTTGCATTGACCACAATACCTGCAGCCATAATGCGCCTTTTGGCGTCATCTGGTCCAACCCATGTGAGACCAGGCTCTAAGGAAAGCTGTCTCGGGTGTGGACCAATCAACTTCAAGGACAGTGCACATACATTATCAGAGTTGTGTTTTTTTATTTGCATTCCGACTGCAGGCATTGTGGTCTATGCAAACATGACTCCTCGTAAAAAAGGTGTCAGTTTTGTTGCCAGATAAAAGGGTAAAAAACAATTATCATATTTTTACTGGCAAATGAGGTTCCAATGGTGTCTCCTGCACACCAGGCGAGGGAGCTAACATCTCACCACCTCGGCGCACCATGATGCCCTATTCATCTCGCCCCCTTAAACCTGAGGTCCCATCACTCCCTGATTGGTCTCCCTTACTCCCTAGGCCCCACCCCTTCCGGTTTAGGCTCCACCTCTTCCGGTTTAGGCTCCGCCTCTTCCTCTACATTCCCCGCCCACTTAATCTTTAGGCCCCACTCCTTCCTGATGAGGTGGCACTCGTATTCAACACATTGTCCTGCTGCGGAGGGAGCTGGTAGGAACGTTGTTGGGTTGCTCGGTCAATGGCCTGCAGGGTCAACGGCGGCGTGGTGTATTCCGCAAATATGCCCGACTGTGAGGGCGGGCACAAGCCGGCGTGAGTAGGTGAAACGTTGAGTTTTATAAGGGCACCACGGGGTGACCAGCCCCTCCCCACCCAGCCCCAACCCTCCCTCCCTCCCCACCCAGCCCCTCCCCACCCAGCCCCTCCCCACCCAGCCCCTCCCCACCCTCCCCACCCAGCCCCTCCCCACCCAGCCCCTCCCCACCCTCCCCTCCCCACCCAGCCCCTCCCCACCCTCCCCTCCCCACCCAGCCCCTCCCCACCCAGCCCCTCCCCACCCTCCCCACCCAGCCCCTCCCCACCCAGCCCCTTCCCACCCAGCCCCACCCCTCCCATTTTTGGATGCACGACGGACGGACGGACACAATAATCCCCTGTGGGCTGGTGTAACCAGGAGGTTCCTACCAGTAAAAGTCCTGAACTATAATGCGGCTCACACACACACAGGCACGCACACAAACACAAGGGACACAGCTGGACTGATTTTAATCTTCGTTTTGCTGTTGCATGTAAACCCCCGTTTGTCAATAAATTGTTGGGCGCAGATTTTTGCCCACCGTGTGGTCTTTCCACTTTCGATGTTTTGCTTTCATACTTTTGTAATGTGAGGACATATCCGGGTTGCTGTTGGATCACAACTCATCACGATGATTGGCTCTGCCGGTCCTGGCCCATAGCCAATGGGGGAAAGCCTAGGGGCGTGGCCCTGACGTCATGGGAAGGTGACATCTGTAAGTAGAGGAATGGTTCTGCTGGCTTTAGCCACAGCCAATGGGGAGACGAGTCAGGGGCGTGGTCCCGGGAGCCTACGATGGAGTCTGGAACATTCCATAGAGGCTAACCAGGATTGGTGGAAAGGTACCACGTGACCCGGGTATTAAATAGGGGTGGAGACGAACAACACGTGGTCAGAACTGGAACGAACGGAGGGTGAGGCCACGTGGTCCAGGCTGTACCACGTGGTCCAGGCTGCCCACGTGGTCCAGGCTGCCCACGTGGTCCAGGCTGCCCACGTGGTCCAGGCTGCCCACGTGGTCCAGGCTGCCCACGTGGTCCAGGCTGCCACGTGGTCGAGGCTTGCCACGTGGTCCAGGCTGCCCACGTGGTCCAGGCTGCCACGTGGTCCAGGCAGCCACGTGGCCGCGCGTGTCTCTCTCTCTCCCTCTCACCCTGTCTGTCAGCAGCGTCAAGGAGTAAGATGGGAGTGTTGTGAACGAAAGACAAATAAAGACCGGATTCCAGAAGTCGCTTCCACGACCTACATTACACTTTGATTTCGGGAAGGTAATGCTGTAAGGGAGGACATAAACTGTGTCCATGAAGACCCTGCTGTTGTGGAGTGACTCATGCAGCCAGCTATGGCTACAGAGTTTGGTAGTACATGTTGTTGATGCCATTTATTGTGCAAATTCCGTCACAGTTCCTATGATCACTGTTTCATTGCTTTCATGGCTTTATTTTGGTGATTTTGAAAAGTGTATTGGTTTGGCCATGTTTGTTTGTTGCAGTACAGAGTTAGACTGATGGCCTTAATCTAAGTTGTCTTGTGGTTGTTGTTGTTGTTTGACTTGCATCCCACTGGGATTTTTGCACACAGCGTTGGTGTGTACGGTCTTCTTGGTTCTTTCGGTAAAGTCACGTAGAAGGGAAGTAATAAAATAATAAAAATAAAACATAATAAAACAATTCTCACGACGTTTCGGCCACAACGCAAGCAGCCGTCCTCAGGTGAAAACCAGGTCCGTCGAGGCGACAGAGTCTGAATGAAACAGCACACGAGCTTGGAGCATATATATAAGCTGGGCGCATTGTACGGTGTTTTTTTCTGCAATATTTTGCTGTCTTTTCTTGGATTTTTTGTTTGCACTCAGTCACATATTCACTTTAAGATGTTTTTTGTTCATGTTTTTTGTTTGTTGCGGTTGCACCCGATTCAAGAGCCGAATGGCTCACAGGGCGATACCAAATACATAAACTGTGTCCATGAAGACCCGGAGCTTCAAATGCAGCGACAGGCCAATTCGTTTCCACACAGCGTTGTTTTTACAGCTTTATTTTGGTGATTTTTAAAAGTTCTGGTTTAGCCATGTTTGTTTGTTGTAGTGCAGAGTTAGCCTGATAACTGTAATCTGCATTGTCTTATGGTTGTTATTGTTTGACTTGCATCCCACTGGGATTTTCGCACACCGCGTTGAAATGCGGTCCTTTTTCTGGAAGACTTTGCTGTTTTTTCCAGGATTTTTCTGGTGCGTTGGAGTCACTTGAAGATGTTTCTTATTCATGTTTTTATTTTGTTACGGCTGCACCCGAGTCAAGAGCTGCATGGCTCACAGGGTTATTACCTAATCAATGAAATTAAACTAAACACAGCCGATTAAAAGATCATTCCACTCGACTGATTTGGAGGGAGTTCTCTGCTATCAAACGGGAGATGGTCATAAGCGCGCAGCCCAGGTATGGGAACACCTCCACTCTCTCGACAACTGTTCCATCACTCATGGGCAGTGGAGGAGGGTGGAGGATTTTATGGCGTAAAATGACGAGGTCGGTACTTTGTTTTGGTGGGGCTGTTGGTAAGGCCTCACCTCTTCGTGGCGCGATTCACGTTCAACAGAGTCTCCGTATCCTTCTGAGACTCAATAACATTTAGCAGATCATCATTTCACAGCATCACGACAGCCTTCGTCTCCTGAGTGGCGATGTTTACATACCACTCCAGGAACTCATTTGAGGCTGAGTCGACCTAGGGGAGGCTGTGGACCGGATCGTTACTCGTGTCGACCACGAGTGGGAATTGAACCTGGGTGGCCGGGTTTGTAGCACAATGCGGTCATCTCTACTCGACCACTCTCCATCCCACACACTCACTCACCCACTCACTCACCCACTCACTCACCCACCCACTCGCCCACCCA